CAACTTGTCCGGTGTGTTCCTTCCCGGGTGTTCTTCGCTGTAGTCAGCTCCTCGGAGCATTTGGTAAGGCTCTTGGTCTTACATTCTGAAGGCACCGCTGGGATTCCTGGGTGTGCTTCATTAGTCAGCTCCTCGGAGCGTTTGGTAAGGCTCTTGGTCTTACATTCTGAAGGCACCGCTGGGATTCCTGGGTGTGCTTCACTAATCAGCTCCTCGGAGCGTTTGGTAAGGCCCTCGGTCTTACAAAACCAGAGAATAAGTCTGAAGTACATTGTCCAACAAGCCCACTGTATAGGGCCTTTGAACAGCATTTGTTAGCACACTTTGCCTGAGGTCCTTTAGGATGTTAAAATCAAATGAGGTGTGAATATACATGTCCACCTCTGAGTTGTTGGGATCAGGCAAAATTAAGATAGGATAGCACAAAGGGTCTTCAACTGCCTTGCCCACTGTCACAGCCTTTTGCAGGGTATGGCAATAGGGAGTGGACCCAGAAGTGGGTTTCACAAGAGGGACAGGTAGACCTTTGTGAGATACCTGAGGAAACTGAGGGGCTAGTGAATTAGGATCCTCCTTGGCCTGCTGTGGTGGTGGAGCAGAAGCCACCGTGAGATGAAAGCAAATGGGGGAAGAAGCCAAACAAGGGTAAGCTTGGCCAGAAGGGTGGGTGGAGAGAGGGGTAGCTGAGGTCTCCTGAACTGACTGAGAGAATTTGAGGGCAGAGTGGACTAAGGCCCAAGTAAGTAGCGTTTGAGGGGAAAGATGATCGCCTTTTCACCAGGCTTCGTGGAGAATGGCTCCTACACATTCCCAGCCTAATAAATTAATTATTCCTTCCTTGGAAAAAGATGGGATGTATATTTCTACGTCTTTTAGCAATTTTATCACAGCATCCTTCAGTACTGGATACATAGCTTGCTCTAACAGCAACTTAAGCAATTTGACAGTTACACTGATCTGATGACAGAGATTGACCCATATTTTCAACTCAGCAAAGATAGAAGGTTGCTCCCAGCTGGACACACTTACCACCAGTGTCCCTTGTCTGAGTCCGGAAATTGTCCTGGGAGATCCATGTGGTGTCTCTTAAACTCCAAGTTTTCTCACAGCCGAGTTCACCAGTGGATCTGATTCACATCTACATTGGGGGCCAAATGTAGGAAAACAGGGAAAGAGAACATTACTAGAACCTCTGCAGTAAGTCCTAGTCTCCTGCGAGAGACAACAGCACAAGGTGAATTAATTAATATATAGACAGAAATGAGACTTAGAGAAGCTGAGCTTTGGCCTGAGCTCTGGGAGGCCAGACCAGCTTGCCACACCTTTATTCAGAACATTGGCAGAAACAAAAGTAGCAATTGACTCAAAGGGAGGAGTCAAGATCCTAGAACAATGAGGAACTATGCAGATGAAGATTTGGTTCCAGGCCAGGGATTTAGCTCAGTGGTTTTGCCACCTGCTGCGCAAGTGTAATGACCAGACTGAGTTGACACTAAAAAGAAAAAAAAAAAAAAGATTTGGTTCAGAACAGGGTCTCTCCCACTGGTGTGGTCCTGCCCTGGAGCATCATGGGACCATTGAGGTCTTAGGTGTGATTGGAGGTGAAAATGGAGTTATATCTGGACATGCTGTAGCCAGGAAAACTAGACCCTAATCATGATGTAATTATGAAATGATTTTCCCCCCAAATCATGTAGAATTGCTCCCAAAAATAGAAAGTTTATAGTGAGAGGGAAGAAAATATTAAGAAGGCTACAAGAGATATACTTGTTTTTGGAGGGGGGCAGTACCGGGGATCGAACTCAGGACCTTGCACTTTCAAGGCAGGTGGAGGCACCACTGAGCTAAATCCTCAGCCCCTTAGAGATATACTTTTGATATGAGAGGATTTTGTATGATAAAAGTTTTGTCATATTAGAAAGACTAAAAAATAATGGCCAGGGATTTAGCTCAGTGGCACAGCACCATGCCTCACAAACACAAGGTCCTGAGTTTGATCCCCAGTACCAAAAAAAAAAAAAGAAAGAAAGAAAGATAAAAAGACAATAACAAGACTGGAAAGTTTATGTATGTCAAGAGAAAGCATGCAGAAGTTATTTATCAAAGAGAATATGGATGTTTGCTTGTTAGTTTGGTGAAAGCCCATGCTGTTCCCTCTAAAAGCTTTTTGTGGGCTGGGGATTTAGCTCAGTGATTTTGCCACCTGCCTTGCAAGTGCAAGGACCCGAGTTCAATTCCTGGTACCAAAAAAAAAAAAAAAATGTGGTATGCTCATATAAAAGCTTTTTGTTGCTCAAAAGACTAAAAAATATGTATGGTTCTTGTTAATTTGATGGAGCTCAGATTGTTCCTAAAGCAAAAGTGCTTGAGAAAATGATTTATATCACAACAGAATAGATATGGGAGAAAAAGCATCAAACCCACCCCATTAAAATGTGTGTTTAAGGGGCCGAGGATTTGGCTCAGTGGTTCCTCACCTGCCTCGCAAGCACAAGGACCCGAGTTTGATCCCCCGTACCAAAAAAAAAAAAATGTGTGTTTAAAAAAAGCTTTAAAAGAGGCTATATAGGAGGCTAAGGAGTAAAGCTGACCCTCCCCAGGTTAAAAACTCTGTATGAGGGGGCGGGGATTTAGCTCAGTGGTTTTGCCACCTGCGGCCCAAGCACAAAGACCCGAGTTCAATCCCCAGTACCCCTCCCCTAAAAAAACTCTTTATGAAATAAATTGGTCCTCCTTTAATGTTGGGTGGCAAGCTGAAGGGACAATTGACAGGGAGACAATTCAATGTGTGCATGATGTGATAACCACAGATAGAGGATGTCCAAGACACCTGGATCAGTTTCCCTACATTGATTCCTGGTTAAATATAATCCAGACTCAATTGGCCTGGCTATAGCCCTGCTTAGAGGCATATTTATTGTAAAATGCTCATATCCTAACTGGTGCCCTGGACAGAAGGAAGAGAAGAATCAGCCTTACTGAGGGGCTCACCAACAAAAGAAAACAGCAAAAGCAACCAAAAACAACCAGTTCTACAAGAGCAGCCAGAAGAGAAAAAACCCTCTCCCTCTTATGCCCCAATTTACCCCCCACCCCACCCAGCCCATAGGGAAACAGGATCAGATGACAGTGAGCCCTGGACCACACCTGAGGAGGAAAAGCCAGAGTCAATGCCCCAAGAAGAAAGTAGGGCAAAGCCCAGACAGTCAAACTACCTTCAGTTGGGCCAAGCTAGGGCTTTACAGATGCCCCTTCGAGAAAGAGAAAGAGACCTATTTATTAATATATAGAAGGCCACATTTGAGGGGGATAACAGACCTTGGTCTACTAGCCCTGCTCAACCACTGATCTTCTCAATTGGAAACATCATACTTCCTCCCATACAGAAAAGCCCCAAGCCCTTGTAGATTTGATACCATCCATATTCCAGACACATAATTCAACCTGGCCTGATTGCAGCTCCTCCTGACACTGTTTAATATTGAGAAACGATGGAGAGTGACTCGGGCAGCTATCCGCTGGTTGGAAAACCATGCCCCAGAGGGTGTGTTGAATGTATAAGCATATGCCTGGGGCCAATTTCCAGAGGCTGACCCAAACTGGGATCTGAACAATGCAGAGTAAGTAAAAACTCTTACAGGGCCAGGGATTTAGCTGAGTGGTTTTGCGCCTACTGCGCAAGCACAAGGACCCAAGTTCAATCCCCAGTACCAAAAAAAAAAAAAAAAAAAAAATGTAAGTACTGGGAAGTCCTCCTACAAAATCTCAAAAAGGGCAGGAAAAAGGCAATAAATATTGGAAAGAACTCAGAAATACTCCAGGGAATGGATGAAAGTCCCAGCCAGTTTTATGAGACTTTGTGAAGTCTATACCCCATTTAGCCCTGAGGTCGCTGAGAATCAACACATGGTAAATGCTACCTTTGTAGGGCAAGCCCAGGGAGACATCAGACACAAACTACAGAAATTAGAGGGTTTTGCTGATATAAATACAACCCAGCTCTTGGAGATCCCCACCAAGGTGTATGCTGAGACTGAGAGACAAAATGAGACAAAGGCTCAAAAGAAAACAGATCTGGGCCAGGGATTTAGCTCAGTGGTTCCGCCACCTACCTCATAAGCATAAGGTCCCGAGTTCGATACCCAGTACCCCCCCCAAAAAAGAAAACATCTGTTGACAACAGCACTCTCAGGAAAAAAGACAGAGATCAATAAGGGGCAAGGGAACAGACAGACATAAACAAAACAGGAGCCAAACCGAGCCAGGATTTGCCAGTTGACCACAGCTACATTGGGATCAATGTGGGTGATATAAAAAGTATGAAAAAAAAAAGTATGGGTACTAGAAAAATAAATGTCAAAAAAATGATGTCCAGTTCCCTTGTTAGGGAGAACTTGTCCCAAAAGCTACAGGCTCAAATTACCTACAGGCTACAAAGAAATACGACTTTAAGTCTGACTGGACCAAAGTCCATGGTATTAACCCTTACTGTCCCACAGGCAGAAAAATAAAAATTGTATTTAAATTAATCACAAAAGCCAGGAATAGAAAAGTATACATGGATGGTCACACAAGATTCCTGGAGTGTAAGCTGAAGACAGTCCACTGGGGCTAGCTATAAGTCAAACACTGGTAATAATAGAGCTAAAGCTGGAAGCAACTCCAGTTCAAATTCACCAATACCCCTCCCCTGGGAAGCCATACAAGGCATTCAAGGACATTTAAAATGACTCTTAGCCAGGCAACGTAGTGCATGCCTGTAATCTCACCGCATGGCATGGTACGCTGAGGCAGGAAGATTGCTGCAAGTTCAAGGCCAGCCTGGGAGTTCAAGGCCAGCCTGAACTATAGTGAAACCCTGTCTCAAAATGGCTTAGAACATGAGACCCTGGCTAAAGGCCAGTCATCCAGGAACACCCTGCTCCTGCTAGTACATAAACCAGTGATAAATAAATACAGACCAGTACAGGCCAAGTCCATACACACTAATGGGACTTATTACAGCAAGTGCTGCCTGGGCTTATCTGCTTGGATTTAAAGGATACATTTTTCTGTTTGCATCTTGTGCCAGTCAGCCACCCCATCTTTACATTTCAATGGGAGGATCCTGTCACAGGCACAAAAAAACCCTAGCTAATCTGCACTAGGCTTCCTCAAGGGTTCAAAAACTCTCCTACAGTATTTGGAGAGGCACTAGCTACTGACTTCAAAGCTTTCATCACACTAGGAGACAATTACACCCTGCTGCAATATACAGATGACCTCCTTCTGGCAGCCCCAACCTGACAGGACTATTATCAAGAAACCAAGGACTGGGGCTGGGGATTTAGCTCAGTGGTTCCAGTGCCTGCCTCACAAGTGCAAGGTCCTGAGTTCAATCCCTGGTACCAAAAAAAGAAAAGAAACCAAGGACCTCTTTCATTTGCTTTGGAAGACTAGATATAAGGTATCCAAGAAAAAGACACAAATTTGCTGGAAGAGGCCAAATATTTAGGCTCCATAATGACTCAGGGAGAATGCCAACTAAACACAAAACAAAAACGGGCTGTCAGCCCTCCTAGCCCCAACACCCAGTGTCAAATAAGAGTCTCTGCTAACAATGGCATTCTGCCATATCTAGATCCCAGATTTTTCACTTATGGCTAAGCCACTATATAAAGCCACAAAGGGTGTAAAAAGGAGCCCCTCCTCTGGGAAGCTGATTAGGAGAAAACAAACAAGTAAAAAAAAAAAAAGCCTTGACTCAGGCTTAGTACTGCCAGATATGACCAAACCTGTCTTCCTATATGTCTATGAATGAAAGGAAATAGCCATAGGATTTAACTCAGGTCTTGGGATCTTGGCATCACCCGATGACATACTTGTCAAAATAGTTAGACTCTATGGCCATAGGATGGCCTCTGTGCTTTAGGACACTAACTGCCTCTGTTCTGCTGACACAGGAAACTGACAAGCTGACTTTGGGACAACAACTGACCATTTGGGTACCGCACTCAGTCATAACCTCAATAGACCAGAGATCACACCACTGGTTATCAAACCCAAGGATGACCCAGTCAGTATCAAGGGCTCTTATGTGAAAATCCACACATAACTCGAGACAATAAACACTCCTAATCCAGCTACTTTGCTCCTATTCGAGCTGGGAGCTCCCCTTCATGACTATATGGGAGTCATGGACAAAGTATTCTTGAGCTGGGGAGATCTCACAGGTTGCTCTCTTGGAGACCCAAATGTTTCGGGAAAGAGTCCAATGGGCAGGATATGCAAAGGTGACATTAGACTCTGAGGTAAAGGCCTGACCTCTGCCCACCAGACCCACAGCTCAGGAAACAAAGTTAATAGCCTTGACAAGGGCTCTTTCATTAGCAAAGAACAAGAAAGCTAACATCTATACTGATTCCACATATGCCTTTATAATATTACGTGTACATAGGACTATATATAAGAAAAGAGGAATCTTGACTGCTGGAGAAGAAGAAATTAAGTACAAAGATGCAATGTGGGCCCCAAGGAGGGTGATTGTTATACACAGCAGAGGATATCAATGGACTGGGACATTAGAAGCCAGGGAAAAACAAAAAACAGAGAAACAAAATGGGCTGCTATGTCAACCCCTCAACCCAAAAGAGGGACCCTAGCCATGCCACTCACCCCAGAGCCTTCTCTTCTGGAGACCTCAAATTACTGTCAAGTGAGAAAACCTGGCTTGCCCAAGAAGCTGGAAAATATGTAAAGGGAAGATGATGATAGTTTGTTGATGGGAGACTAGCCAGCCCGGAAGTGCTGGGCCTCAGGTTTATAAAACAATTCCATCAGGGGTCTCACATGGAAAAGATAGCATTGGAAACATTACTAGGCTTCCATTTCTATGTGCCACAGCAGGCTGTCTGTGAGCAATGCTTAACCTGTACCCAAAACAACCTAAGGCAAGGGCCCACCCAGCCCCCAGGGTATCTAGGAAATGAGCTGCCCCACATAAAGACCTGCTTATGGACTTTACTGAACTGCCTTGACCAGGAGACTATTAATGTATGTTGGTGCTTGTCTACTTCTTCTCAGGATGGGTTGAAGCCTACCCCATCCAAAACAGAAAAGGTATGAGAGGTGACCAAGATACTGTTCTGAGATATCATTCCAACATTTGACTACCCCTGAGGGTCAGACAATGGACCAGCATTCATAACTGAGATAGTCTAAGAGCTCACTCAGATGTTAAAGATAAAATGGAAGCTTCACAGGGCTTACCAGCTACAGAGCTCAGGAAAGGTAAAACATATGAACTGGACAATCAAACAAATGCTGAAAAAATATTGTCGAGAAACGCACTTGAGGTGGAATCAAGTATTGTCCATGGTCCTCCTCTGAGTCTGGCATACCCTCACCAAACAAACTGGGTATTCCCCTTATAAAATTTTGTTCAGCCAGCCACCCCTAATCTTGTCAAATTAAGAGTGATCTCTGTGAGCTAGGAAAATTGATCTTGAGGAGACAGATACAGGGCTTTGAGAGTAGCCCTACAAGATATCCATAGCTGGGTACAAGAGAAAATGCCCATAAGCCTAACAGACCCAATAAACCCTTTAAATCCCAGGGACTTTGTTTGAGTCAAAAAAAATCCAACAACTCTGGGGCCCACATGGGATGGGTCTCATACTGTCCACCCCCACTGCTGTTAAAGTTACAACAGCTATGGCTTAGATCTACCATAGTTGGCTAAAGCCAATAGCTCAAGACAGGTGGAGCAGCCAGCAGGATCCAGAGCACCCAAATCAACCGATCCTTCAATGAGATCAGGCCACCACCAGAAATGACAGCCCTACTCTAGTCATCCCAGAAGCTGACTAGTCTACACATGGCAGAAGCCTGAGGAAACAACAGCCCTGCTTTGGTTACTCTGGAAGCTGAACAGTCCACGAATGGCTGAAGCTTGAGGATCAACATAGAGTCACAACAACAACATCAGTTTTTTGTCCTCTGTTATAATTCTCCCTTGCCTCTTACCCCTATTTGTCAAAAACATTCAGTCTGCCATAGAGACTCTGATAGGCATACTACCACTTGACTGATGGCCTTAACCAAGTACTAACCTCTAACACAGCAGGTTGTACTGAGCACGCCCCTGTAACAAAGAATTGATATAATGATAATGGTGCTAAAGATGATGCTTTCTATTAAAACTTATTATAGAAAGCATCAAAGGGGCAGGGGAATGAAGCAAGACTTAAAGAACAAATTATTCCCAGCCTTGGATCACCTCCACCCTATCTTGTAGCTGTAACTCCTTGTTCTGGTACAGATAAAATTGAAAACTGTGTCCTATAAACGAAGTTTATGACACTCTGTTCTCATATGATTCATAAGACTCTGTCTTCTTACAAGGCTAAATTACAAAACTGTTTAACCTTGTCCTGTTACAGTAAACTCATTTGCTACATCACTAGAAAGGCCACCACACCCTTTCGATCAAATGTATAAAAGCTTTCCTTTGTTCAATGCTCTTCCTTTGGACAGGAGTCCATTGAGCTGTTGTTCACCTAAACCTGAAATAAATCTTCCTGATTCCCATTGATCTCTCCTGTCTCTGGAAATTCTGTAACACCATGACATGAGCAGTTTTCCTCTGCTCAGATCCTTCTGCCATGCTCTGTCCATGCAAGGACCAAAACTTCTAAAATGTGAGCCAAAATAAACTTTCCCTCCTTTAAATTGCCAGTGTCAGGTATTTTTGTTCCAGCGATTAGAACAGTAACTAAGGTAATCTACCCTCCCCCTTTCCTCAGGTGTGCTAATTTCCCTTCTAAAATTTGTATTGCTTATTAAAAATATTTTACACAAATTATATTATTCACAATATCTTATCATCTTCATTTTTTAAAAATGTAGCTATATACTGTGAACAAATTTCTATCAGTTGTTTTTAATCCTACCTGAAAATTAGATTTACTGGGGAGATTTTTAAAGAGCAAATAAAATAACAAAATAAAAACCAGTGTTTCAAACATACCTAGACTAATTGATCAGCACTTCAGAAGGAGGAGGCCTAGGGGAAAAAATTTTTTAATCACCTAAAATGATTCCAATGTCCATCCAGGATCGAGGCCCATGAGTCTTAAGTAGTACCCCATCATTATATGATTTAATCAATGTTGTTCTGATGGAACAGGTTGCAAGGTCAATCCTTATTGTGGATATTTCTGTATGTATTATCTTCTATACTTGTTGAAGGACCCTAGTTAGCAAGACAGACTCCATATTGCTGCTGAATGACCCACCTGCCTGCCCTTTAGATAAACTCAAAAGGAGGAAGCTTAGAAACCTCCTCCCCTTAGAGAGTCTCTTGGAAACAATAATTAATCAACTATTGTTTTACAAATGTTCTAACAGCAGGACATTCTGCTTCTGTACCTTTTGCTTGCTTTACTAAAGGTCTATCACATAGGGGGGCCTAGAAACTGCTGGCCTCAAAGGTGTATAAAACATGTTTGTCTTCCCCCAGTCGAGGCTGGAGTCCAATGCTCAGCTCGGGTGCTGGCCAGGTGCCGGCCGGTAATAAACTCCTGTGTGGATTTAATATCAGTCTCTGGTTGGTTCTTTCCCACTGGGTGTAACATTCTTGGAGGCCCCAGCGAGATAGCCAGCTGCTCTAGAGCTTATTATCTTGGAGCCTTTGTTTCTTTTTAGGAGAGACCAGGATCGGACATGGGCGGTGTTTGGCCCCTCTGGATACCGGTCTGCAGAAGGAGAGGCCACCATGACGGTATTCCGGGGCTCCGGGTAGACCGATCCCAGTCGGGCCCTATCGCCAATCAACCAACCCACAGGAATTCATCGGGAAAGCCTCTAGAGGTAAGAATCGAATGATTCTTAATGCACTGTGGGTAGATAAGAGGAAGCCGGATGCAGCACAGGTTCCCTTACCTAGAGTCTCTGCGACAGCAGGCAAGCAGACTCAACTGGGTGGGAGTCCTCAGAAGAGCGACTCCCTGGGTGGGGTCTGAATCCATTTGGCCCCAGAGGTTTTACTTGGCCAAAGTTTGTCTTTGTCTGATATGGTTGTCTGTCTTCCTGCTCTGTGTGCCTTTTGCGTTTTCACAGGCTAAAATTATGGGTTCCTCGCAGTCCACAGAAGGAACTCCACTTGATTGTGTTTTAAATAACTTCAAAAAAAATTTATTCCCCAGACAGGGAAGATAAATAGGCCATGAAATTTTCTAAAGGCAAATTACAAACCCTGTGTCAATTAAAATGGCCCAGTTTTGGAGTCCATTGGTCCCCGGTGGGAACTTATTCTGAGCACATTGCTTGCAAGGTTTGGAATGTGGTCACAGGAGTTGGGGCCCCACAGGTCCCGATCGACCTTTGGCACTCTATCGGGACAGGACTATGGTCCATCAGCCCCATCTTCCTCTTCCCTTTTTCCTTTAAAACAGACAACTAGTGATCTTTACAGTTGGAAACATCAAAATCCCCCCTTCTCTGAAAAACCTCAGGCATTAATCTCTTCTTGAGTCTGTTTTTCATACCCATCAGCCAACCTGGGATGATTGCCAGCAGTTTTTACAGATCCTATTCACCACTGAGGAACAGGACCTCATTTATCAACAGGCACTCAAAGAGGCCCTGGGGCCAAACCGCGGCATCACTCCCGGAACTCCGGGGCATTTGACCAAGGCTGAAACAGTAGTTCCATCATGACACCCCGAATGGGACCCCAATGATGATGACAGTAAGAGGAGGACCCGAGTTTGATCCCTGGCACCCCACTCCCCCAAAAAAGATAAGGCATAGCAAGGTAGAATGAAGACCTTACTCTCTTAACATCTTGCTCATAAATTGAGAATTCTCTAAATATCACCATACTCTTTTTGTCATTAAATATTTTGCACTTTATCCACTAAAACATACAAACTTCAGAGACAAATAGAGGCTACTGCCTCTTTTAATCCCAGTGGATTAGAGTACATATTTATACTATACCTTCTGCAGTACATCTGACTTACATCACAACCATCTGAGGAAAGTATTGTTCACATTTTCCTGAAAAATGAGTTCACAAGTTTAAGTCAATTTGCCCAAGATCACAAAGAAGCAGAATGTGCATTCAAATTCCACATCCATCTGACTAAAAGTGGTTTAAATCTTAAAAGTAAAAAGAAACACTGTGTGAAGACAAACAAATTAGTATGATGCTTCTACAAGCCAAGCAACGCTGAGGCTTGTTGGCAAGCATTGGAAACTGGGAGAGGCATTTAACAGATTGTTCCACTGGAACCTTCAGAAGGAACCACCCTGAGGACCTGAGCTTAAGACTTCTGGACTCTGTTGTTTCAAGTCACCCTGTGGTACGTTATAAGAAGTCCTAGGAAACTAATATGCCATGTCTCTGGTTTCAAGCAAAAATGGAATGGTAAGGGTCAGAAAAGGTGAAGACGGTGATTAATGTAAATAATTATCTAGCTCACATACCCCCCCACACACACACACTTTCTTTTGTCTTATGCTCACATACTTATTGATTCCCAAGGAACCCTGAATGCTCGAAGGTAGAAAAAATGCTCCAGGACACCTGTATTGACCCTCCTGTATTGGCTGTATGCATTCTAAGAGTCATTTGTGTTTATTCCCAGTTGTTTTTGCTATTATAGTTTTATAATATGCTTTAAAAATGGAGGATAATCTTATCAAGAGCTTTATGTTAATTCATAGCAGGGTAGAAAATAAGAGAATTCATTATTTTCAAGGTCCTAATGAGTTCTGACTCTTTGTAATTCTAACTTTATGAACAAGCTAACCAAATTAATGTTATGCATATATAATACTCATCGTATACCTATATTGTATCCAGACACTTTATTATATTAACTCACTTCAGGTCATTCATGCTAGAAAAGGTGAAGAAGTGTTATAAACTCAAATAGTTCAAGAATCCACCCTTTTAATTACTAGGGAACACTGCTACTCTGCCTTAGTGCATTAAAAAAGTAAAGAGAGCTTAAAAATTCCTAAATTAATTCAATATTATCCCCAAACTGATAGTCTACCAATAAAAATAGTTTACAAAATTAAAAAAAAACCCAGCAACTGCGAACTATCAGGACCCTAGAGTAGACTGACTGCTTGACCTTTGACTCCTGGGTCAACTCAGAGGCCTCCAGAGCACACCTGCCCTCTGTAAGCCACCTCTTTTCTGTCCCTTCTGGTGCTTATTGACCGTTGTCTTTAAACTGACTGATTCCATTAATTTTCTTTTCCCCCGTTTTCATTACTTTTTTCTGTGTAGGGGATATCTTCCCGCTCTTTCCGCTCAGGCCCAAAGTCCAAGGTCCAAGACTTTCTGGCTTCTTTATCCGAGGGGCGGAGCAAGGCCTGGGCGCCTGTGTACTGCGGCCCAGATCCCGCCCCAGGATGCGGAACACGCTTGTTCCTTCCGGCTTGCCGTTCTTTGCAGTCATGGCGGCTGCCGTGTTCTCGTGGCGGTTCACCTTGCGGGGCTTCTCCAACGCGGTGACCCGGGCCACTCACGCTCGGAGACCTAGCCCGCGTGAGTCTCTGTCGCGTCGCCGCCTCCGGGCTTCGGAAAGGTGAAAGGGCGAAGTGCTGGCCCAACGATGTGGCGGAGCTAGCACGCCCGGCAGGCGGAGTTTCTCTGGCCGCCCGCTGCTGGCCGCCTAGAGGGAAGGCCGCGGACACCTGCGCGGCTGGTGCATCCCCCCCTCCGCAGCCGCGCGCTCCGATCTCTCTCTGGTTGTTGCCTCTGCCTTGTCTTCAAGCCGTTGTTGACTCAGATCTTCTCGTACGGGAGAAGGGCAACACCTGTGCCTCGAAGAAAACACGGTCCTGAGCTTTCGGTGGCCAAACGGGATGACCTTCATTCCAGCAGGGTGTGGGGCTCCTGGTAGCGTTCGTGCAGTGGAGGAGTCTAGTGGAAACGACTGATTGTTAGGGAGAAGTTCTGTCTAGTGTGAGAGGAGCTGTAAAGAAGTGTGAATGGAGTAACAGGGAGCATGGAAGAGGAAAGGCAAGGAGGAGCGCGTTTAAGCACCAGACCTGGACCATACTGCAGTTTACTCTCTTCATACTTCTCACAGCCAGTGAAGCCCACCCTCTCACTTCTGCAGCAGTTGCCTTACTGTTTCGTATTTCTAGCATTGAATTATCACAACAGAGTAAGGTGTTCAAAATGCAGATCTTATCTCTCTACTCCCTTTGTTGAAAATCTACAAGTGGCTTTAAGATTGGTTATAAATTCTTTACTGCATCATAGTGGCTTTTCAGTCTTTTTTTTTTTTTTTCCTGATAATTGGAATTGAACCCAGGGCCTTTGTTCTGAACTACCTCTCTCCCCATCCCACATTTTTTTTTTTTTTTTTTTTTAATTTTGAGACAGGGTCTCACAGAGTTGCTGTGTTTCCCAGATTGGGCTCGAACTTGTAGTCTTCCTGCTTCGCAGTGGTAGGATTAAAAGTATGGGCCACCATGCCCAGCTCTTTTTTTTTTTTTTTAAATAAATTTTATTCCATTCCTGCCCCAAGCTCCCCTCCCCTCCCTATGTACAAAAGCATTGTTTTCATTTTTTTCCTTCTATTTTCACTTTTTTTTTTGGTACTGCAGATCGAACTCGGAACTTGTGCTATCGAGGCAGGTGCCAGAACCACTGAGCTAAATCCCTGGCCCTATTTTTCACTTTTTTTTCTTGCCCCTTCCTTCCTTTCTCTCTCCCTCCTCTTTTGTTCTTTCCATTTGAACACTTTCTTCCCATTTCCCAGTCAGCTTTTTTCATAGTCTTAACATTTTGTCTATTTTTAATTTTTCATTGTTTTATTCTCTGAATATTTAACTCATGTTCTAGATACCTGGGATATAGCAAAGTTCCTGCCATGGGGGAGGCAGTCTGAGTATAAACAACTACATAAAATATCAGGTAGTGTTTGTTATGAAGAAAAATAAAGCAGAATATACAGAATAAATCACCGGAGAAGTGGTGGATATTGGGTAGGTTAAGATAGGTTGTTCAGGAAAGATCTCTCTGAGGAAGTGATATTTGAGCAGAACCTAGAGCCGTGCAAAGAATTGTGAGAAGAGCATTGTTGTCATAGGGACCTACAAACACAAAGACCCACAAATGAAAATGACCTTAGGGACATGATTAAGAAACAGAAAGAGCCTGACTAGAAGTGTGTGAGAGTAAAGACATCAAAGATTTAAGTAGTGGCCTAATCTTTTAAGGGTTTGCAGATACTCAGTTTTGAGTTTTGACTTGGGTTTTATTGTAAGTTGAAGATCACATTGAAAGACTTGAAACAGGAAAATGATGTGATTTATACTTCGAAAAGATCACTGGCTGCTGTATGGAGAACCATCTTCAATGGAGTGAGAGTGGAAGCTAGAGACCTGTCTGGAGTCTGTTGTATTAATCCAGATAAGATGATGGTGGCTTGAGTAATTGTGGAAAAAGATGATGAGCTCGGATTTAGGGTAGAGCTAATAGAATTTACTGATGGATTTGATATGGGCGTAAGCACAGGTGTCAAGGAAGCCAGTAGATATTTGTCCTGAGTCATTGGATGATTGGTAATACCATATACAGGGATTAAGAGGACTGAAAGAAAGAAATTGAGAGCTCTGCCAAACATGTTGTAGTTGCAGAGTCCATTAAATATCTTCCATCTCTCTTCAGTTCTCTCTGTTCTCTTAAATTTTAGCTGTATTGAATTTGAATTTGTTTACTTAGATTTTCTATGTTCTCTTGCTTTCTTGAAACACTTGTATTCACCTGTTTGTTCCCCTGGCTATCTGCTGCTCATCTCTCAAGTTTTAGCTTAAAGTGTAATTTCAAGGAGGTTTACTCTGAACATATTAGTCAGCATCTTCTGGAGAGAAAGAACTAACAGGATTGTTGGTTGGATGGATAGATGAATGGATTAGGGAAATTGGCTTATATATTTATGGAGACTGAGAAATCTTGTATTAGGCTATCTGCATGCTGGAAACACTGAATATCGGTAGCATGACTCAGTCCACATCTGAGCTCCGGATAAGCTAGAGAACAGATTTGCCTCTTTTCTGCCTCTCTGTCTTACCCTCTCTTCATTGAAAGAATTGAGAATAGATCTTCCACACTCTGTCTCACATCAGCAATCTCCTCTGCAAATGCCTTCACCCAGAAATAGTGTTTTACCAATTCTCTGGATATCCTTTAATCTAGTCAAGTTAATATCTAACATTAACCATTACACCAGCTAATTTCATTTCCTGTTATATGTATCCAGAATACTGGCACTATTTATTTAGATTACTTGTTAAAAATTTGTCTTATTTGATAGATTATACATTCTGAAAGTGAGAACTGTTTTGTTAATTCCTAGTTTCTAGTATATAGTATCACTCAATCTTTGAATAAATGAATATTGTGAGATGAATAGAAATATATCAGATGAAGAAATGGGGAGGGGAGAGGGAATGGGAGTCAGGCAGCTGCAAGAGAGCCACGTGCCAAATACAGAGAACAGAAAGTTCAGAGAAAGACCAAAAGGTCTAGTCCTGGGAGTTCATTGTAGCTGTGGAACCTTGTAAAAGGAGAGAAGCTAGGGGCAGTATGAAAAGCCTTGTATACCATGCTCTTGTGACCTTAACTTTTTGCTCTTTAGTTTTGTTGACTGAGAGTGACCTCCAAATAGGAATAATAATAGTACTTATATTTGTCATAATGAATGGGATTAAATGAGAAAAATAGTTTTTAACACAGTGTCTGCATTTGAAAGTACTGATAAATGTACCTATTATTTAGTACAACAAAACATTTCAAGAAGCAGAAGGTAAATTTTTGGTGGTACTTGGAATAAGGTATTTTAAAAGGTGCAGTCATGTTATTTAGTAGGAATGACTGAGTTTTGTTGGTGTCATTGTAGCATTAGCAGTTCTAATGTACAGTAAAGAAAAACTGAAGGATTGTGTTTCTTTTTTTTTTTCGTACCAGGGATTGAACTCGGGTCCTTGCGCTTGCGAGGCAGGCGGCAGAACCACTGAGCTAAATCCCTGGCCAGGATTGTCTTTCTGACAGAGTAATTCCAAATATGAACAAGAGATTTATAATTAGGACATTTCAAACTAGTTATTGTTGGGTTCAAAATCCTTAATTCTAACCTTGATATTTTATCTTGAGAAAGTAAGTTCATTTTGCTGTGAACCTTAAAACTTACAGAAAATATTTTTAGGTGATGTGTTCACTATGTCAGCAATTATAATAAAAGCTTTCTGAGCTTTTGTTTTTTTTTGGTACCAGGGATTGAACTCGGGTCCTTGCACTTGTAAAGCAGGTGGCAAAACCACTGAGCCAAATCCCCAGCCCCCTGAGCTTTTGTTTTTCACTAAGATGATTTTATTCTTTTAAGTTATTGTTTAATTTTTGTCACTGAATATTGTGTTAGAATTAGGGAATAATGATTGATATTGAACAATTCTATAAATATTCCTGTCGTTATTATCTTTTAGATACAGGAGAAAGAACATCCAGAAGTGGAAGGCAAATGAGAAGACAGGTAAACAATTTATGTACTCTATTATATACTATCTTTTTTTTTTCTTTTTGGTACTGGGGATTGAACTCAGGACCTTGCGCTTGTGAGGCAGGCAGTGGAAGCACTGAGCTAAATTCCCTGTCCTATTATATATTATTATCTTAATGATTTCTGAAATTTTAAAGTGAGACAGATATAAGATACAGAAGTCTTCAGAAGGTTACTGGGTGACTGCACCAGCTCTGGTAGGGGTTAGTCTTTGATTTGTGTGTGTGCATGTGTGTGTGTGTGTGTGTGTGTGTTTGTGTCCAGAGAAAGGAGGAGACTCACATACTCCCAGAAAACATATATAAAACAATATAGAACTACTCTATTTTTGATAGTACTTTTAGTAATGATGCAGCTTGGGTATATACATGAGTCCAGGAGAGTGCTGTGTCCCCACCCCAGTTATATACAGTTGTTAATCTAAGCAGGAGGACCCTGTGAAGAAGTCCAAATTATAAGGTCAGCGGATAAGCAGGGAGTCAGAACAGACATTAGTTAAAAATTAAATGGCCCCAAATTACGATCATCTTCAGCAGTAATTTTTATAGGAATATTGCTTCAGGACATATACTGCACTGATTTTGATATTGCTTAGGTGGATATTGCTCCTTAAGCCTTAGTTTTGTATGTTGGCCATCTTCTATTTAAGACTGTTTATGTATGTTAATGTGATGGATTAAACTATCCAGTAGTTTTTCTCTGGGTCTAAATAATCTCTCATGTATTTGTTCTGTCTAACCCCAATTTACTTATTTCCATGTTCTGACTCTTTATCTTTATTTCCAAGTTTTTATTGACCTCTCATGTAATGACTTCCATCAAAAACTTTTAGAAATTATATTTAGAAATATATAAAGAAATTTGGGTGTAATATAATTCTAATATATAAATATTTAGAAATATATTGAAAGTCTAATTAAATAAATCAATTTTTAGTGAAGGAAGTGTGATATTAAAAGTGATCTTTGCCAGACGATTTTTAGGTATGTTTGGTGTTTTTTCATTCACATAGCAGCAGATTAGTTGGAAGTTAGATTTTATATAGTTGGATTTTTTTCTTTTTTTTTTGGTACGGGGATCAAACTCGGAATCTTGTGCTTGCGAGGCAGGCGGCGGGACCACTGAGCTAAATCCCCGGCCCCTAGATTTTATAATTAGTTTTTATTTCTCATAATTGCAGCTTTTGCTTTAAAATTAGGGAATATGTTCATATTTTTAAAATCTTAAGTATTTTATGATTCCTAGGCACTACCTCCTAGAACAGAGAAAATGGCTGTTGACCAGGACTGGCCTAGTGTTTACCCTGTTGCAGTGCCCTTTAAGCCCTCTGCAGTGCCTCTCCCTGTTCGGATGGGTTATCCAGTAAAAAAGGGTGTTCCTATGGCAAAGGAAGGAAATCTAGAACTTCTAAAGGTAAGATAAGTTGCTGGTTCATTGGCTAAAACTAATACTTAAATGAATGCTGACCTTCCCTCCACTGATACTCTTATACTTTAGGATTCAGAACATAGCAGCTTACGGAGGCTTTAAAGTTTTTTCCAGGTGATAATTGTTGGCAGGTAAGAATGTAATTAATCGGTCATATGATTTCTTTTGTGGCCTTTTCTGTTGTATCTTCTCTATGTTGTATTCTTTATTTCTTTATTTATTTTTTGGTACCGGGGATTGAACTCGGGACCTTGCACTTGGGTGGTAGGCGCTGGAACCACTGAGCCGAATCCCTGGCCCTATGTTGTATCCTTTAAATGGAACTAAGAGAAGAGAAATAATCTTAAAGTTAGAATTGGGAAGTAAGGTTCCACTTTTAAAATTGACTTTCCAGAAAGGGTAGAATATTACTTAATAATATTGTTATAGCCCACAAACTTTAACTTCTTTACTACTTAAAGAGAAATATGTCATTTTAAATGTTTCATTTGGTAGCATCTATATGATTTATGAACTAAGGTTTTGTTTGTTTATTTTTATTTTTTAATTTTTTTTTAATTTTTTGGTACCAGGCATCAAACTCGGGTCCTTGTGCTTGCACAGCAGGGAGCGAAACCACTGAGCTAAATCCTCAGCTCTGTTTTTTTTTTTTTAAAGAAAATACAGATACTTAATCTGGGCATGCGTATCATAGATGGTTCTTTTACAGTACTTATAATAGAAGTTATACAGTAGGAAATGAGTTCTTTCCCATTAGGTAAGAGTCTTTGTGAAAAGCAAAGAAAAATTTGCTAAAAGATGATGTTAAAAAATGAGACAGGTTCCTGCGAGGTCCTGAGTTCGATCCCCGGTACCAAAAAAAAAAAATGAGACAGGAACAGAGGGAAGTGCTATTTTTCTGCTGGAGATGGGTAAAGAAAATTTGGAAATGAAAACCTTTCAAGAGACACAAGAAAGCAAACATTGAGGGAAAGAAATCTTCAAATGAAAAGAAAAGAACTTAAAAATGTCTTTGAAAAATGTCATTGAATGAGAGAGACTAGCAGTACATTTATTATAATGCCGATAGTCGTGAATAAACACAAAATTCCAAACATCTATTTCTGGTGATATAATTGAATATGCTTATTAACTGAGCACTTATGCTTATTAACTTAGAGTACTTAGAACAATGCCTGTAAGTTCTTGTAAACATTAGGTATTATTATTTTGTTTGGAATCTTGAGGTTAATATTTCAAAAATAAAAGTACAGAAAATGAAGTTATCTATCCTGTAGTCCCAGTGTTCAGTCCCTATTTTCTCTTGATTAAAATAAATATTTTCTGATAAGCATTCAAAATATCAGACATAATTCTTAGAGTCACATTCATTTTGTTCATATTTTCTTTCCAAATAAGACTAGGAAAAATTTTCTCTTTACATGCTTACTATTCAAAAAATATGGTAGTAAATGTTAATTATTTATTTGAAGGAATTAAGTCTCTGACCTTAATTTTCATTGACTCCATGAATATAATTAGGTAGCCTTTTAGCATATCATAATAAGCATATTCCTAATTTCATTAAACTATTCAGTTAAGATTTACTAGCTTCATTTTTTCATTCATTAAATTTATAAAATGTTTATTATGTGTAAAGTGGAAATGATACCATGCTAACTTTTCTAGGAGAATTGGGATGATTAAACAGTGATCTGTGTCCTTAAGTGCTTTCAGTTTTATTAAGGAAATATTTGTGTATACCTGTAGATTGATGACAAGAAGAATATTATAAAAATTATGTTTATTTTTTCAATATGATTGCTACCATAGGTTACTTGGTAAAGGTGAAAGATTTATATGATCAGAAGATACACCAGAGTATCATCATATATTAATTGGTACAGAATGTATATCTTAAGTTTGTTTCTTTTTTTTTTTGGTACGAGGGATCGAACTCGGGTCCTTGCACTTGCTCAGCAGGCAACGAAACCACGGAGCTAAATCCCTGGCCCCAAGAAGTTTGTTTCTTGAACTGGTCACATCTGTGTCATAGAATTAGTGTAGTAAAAGAACTGTCAGATTTTATTTACCATGTGACTTATTGGGCCTATGATTTAGTTTTATGAGAAAACTATCTTTCCCATGTTTTTATGACAATTAGCCTGATTTAGTGGCACATGCCTATAGTCCTAGCTATGCAAGAGTCAGGAGGACAAGAATTTGAGACCACCCTATAATTTATTTGGTATAATTTATTCTTTAAATTTCTTTGCTTTAGATCCCTAATTTTCTGCATTTGACTCCTGTAGCAATTAAAAAGCACTGCCAAGCTCTTAAAGGTAAGTTATTGGTTAATATAAATTTTGTAATTGACTTTGAAAATAAAACTAAGAATTTTAGGTCTAATGAGGTAGAGCCTTATAATCTGAGTTGTTATAAATTTCTCTTTTTTTTAAAGGATGATAAAATTTATTTTCAGTGAGTTTTTAGCTGTCAAATCTGCAAAAACTTTTTGCTGACCACTCTACAGGACATTATGAATATTAAGTAGAAGTTGGAACTATAGTCTTTGCTCACAGGTAGATGAGGGACTTACTGTTATAGAAAGCATATATAAAAATACTGAAGTTTTGCCAATAGGTACAAACGAATATAATTCAAACTAAAGATAGTACAGAAGGATATTGAGTGGCAGAGCAGTCAATGGGTTCAGTATTAGGGTACCTCAGAGAAGAGTTATCGTGAAGAAGTTGTTTAAAGTTGTAAAACATTAAAAGTGATACATGCATGTGCTGAATCAAAAACAGAAGAACCTATGATGAGAAGCATGTCCCATGTGCTTTCTTTCCTATCCCCAGCTTCTCATCCCAGAAGTGCTCCCTTTTAATCGTGATTTAGTGCTAATAATTACTTCCAGAGAAAGAGTATTTATTTATACTTACAATGTATACTCTGCATGTTATGTAACATGCAAATGAATAAGTAATAGCAATAATCACGACATTATGATTATTGTAGATTAATTGGTTTTAAATGGTATCTTTTGATTCCTAGGTGTAAACATAGGTTTCATACAGCACTTATATTATGACTCCTACTTTCTGTGTGAATAGAGATAAAGGCAAATATTTGTCTAATTTGCATCGGACTGTACATAGGTTAAGTACATTTCAATTCTAGTTTACAGCTATTATTGATTGACTGTACAGTTCAATTGAAGAATTAGTACTATTAAATAGTCTTAATATATCCATGTTGACATAAAAGTATATAAATGTTAAGTACACTTGTTAAGATTTCTAAGGGAAAAAAAATAAAACCCAGAAATATTTCATAGATAGCTTAATTATTCTGGAAGGAAAACTGGATAGTGAATGTAATTGTGATTATATTTGATCTTTTTTCTTTGGTACCAGGGATCAAACTCGGGTCCTTGAACTTGTGAGGCAGGCGCCGGAACCACTGAGCTAAATCCCCGGTCCCTACTTTTGATCTTTTAGGAGGAACTTTCATTCGAAAAAATTGGAGAGGACTGGGGATTTATTTAGCTCAGTGGTTTCAGTGCCTGGCTTGAAAGAGCAAGGTCCCAAGTTCGGTCCCTGGTACCAAAAAAAAAATTGGAGAAAATACAGAGATCCTAAAACAGGAATAGTAACCTTACTCTTGAAACAAGGGAAGAGAAATCTATTTCATTTCATTTGCAGTCTTTGCTTTCGAACCTTAGAATGGTTTTCTGTCCCCTCAGAGTGTTCTTCTGTGTTCATCTGTACTTGGAATTGGACCTAGAAGTTATCACTATTCTAAATTTGTTCCACATTTGGTGCAAATCATACATGACTCTTTATTCCTTTGTAAAGCCCTTTATCAAACGCATTGCTATGCATTGTGAAAAATTTCATTTCTCCACTTTAAACGTTTTTAAATATATGTTTATAATCTAGCAACTGATCATTTAATGAAATATTTTTATAATGATAATTAAATGAAAGGCTTTTATATAGCATTCAGAAAAGTAATGTTATTTTTTATAGTACTTAAATTCTACAAGCCTATGGATTTAGATTGCATCTTCCAAAAAACTCAAAGCCTTTTCAAATATTTTTTCTCAGTTATTTTTCAGAGTAGGTCAGTTTTTATATCTAACTTGCAAATGGACAATCTGAAGTATGGGAACATTAGAAGATTTACCAAAACTTTAAGAATCAGTGGCAGAAGTTAAATAAAAACAAAGAGCTTTTAAAGTCTATTCCTTTATCAGATGAATGGTGGCTGTAATCTAGGCAGTTTAATTTAGCAACTATAATTATCATTTGGTGATTAAAAAGACTTATCCACAGTTTAAAAGAAGAACAAAGATTTATTCCAAAGCCGAAAGCTCTTAGTATTCTCCAAACTGGTTACTCTTACAGAATGCTTGCCAGTGATACATCTTATGGTGCAGAATGTTGGAATTGGTCCATAACAAGAATGAAATTCAACTCAGTGGTCTTAATCTGTTCGTTTTTTTAAATGTCAAAATGTTCTTAATTCCAAAGATATTTGTTTGCCTTCAGAGTAACTTCAGTATTGATCTTTTAAACAGGGCAGGGCTGGGGATTTAGCGCAGTGGTTTTGCTGCCTGTTGTGCAAGTGCAAGGACCCGAGTTCCATCCCCGGTAACAAAAATTAAAATAAAAAAATAAAATAAACAGTATTTAGGGAATGGGGTGACCTATGCTTGCTTTGTAAGCATATAATTAGTCTCAGATATCAGAAAGTCTTCATAACCCAGAATGACATTTTACTGACTGATTTAAAAATCAAACCTAAAGCGAGCTAAATGTAGTACCTACTATTAGAAAGTATTATCTTTGGGAAATATTACTGGCAAAATACTAACTGTCCTTGGGTTATCATGCAGAAGTGTTCCCACATCCACCTGTGATGATGGTCAGCCTTTCCTACATTTATTGGAGAAAGCATGGGTCCATGAAGTTTAACATGTTTGACCCAAGAAGGCTACTGTTTTTAGTTCTTAGAGTGAGACCAGTTAAGCAACAAGAAGGGGAGCCTGATAGTGTTAGGAATTTACATCGCAAGCTAAATGCTCCCTACCACACTAACCTGGTAGGAATAGAGCAATAGGAAGTCAGCTGCTGATACTTGTGGGAGGCTGGGAGCCACCCCCCAATTGGGCCCTGATTCAGAACCTCTGTGCTTTAAAAAGCCGTGTTCACAGTGCTCAGAACTTCCTGTTGTGGCTTAGGTCTCAGACCCAGTCCCAACTTTCCACACCTTTTGTCTTCCCCAAATATGAGAACAAAGCTTCTCCTCTTTCCATAGCTCCTTTGGCACATAGAAATCACTTAGAAGAAACATCAGGTACTGTATGGATCTATATAAAAATGACTTAACGTTTGTATCTGTTTGAGTCTTTATTTAATTCAATTTCTGGATGATTATTGACTACATCTCCATTCCATCTTAGAGCTTTTCCAGAGCCTCTTTTCATTTCTTTCAGCTGGTCTTTCATAGTCTTCATTTGGGAGTGGATTTTCATTTGAGATTGTTTTTCACAGGCCTTAATGCTCTGAACACCAAATTGTTCACTTTTTAAATTAGCATATGTTTGTAATGCATAATAGTTACATTTGTTTACTTTCAGTTGGTAAGGAAGAATTAAATTGACCCCTACTAGGTATATGGAGAGCTTTGATGTACTTCCATTAAGGCATGGTAACCCCCTTTTTAAAAATTTTGAAGAACCTCATGCATGGTAAGCACATCCTTTACCATGAGCTGCACCCCCAGCCCCATAGGTCCCTTTTTTTAATGAACACACTGTTCCCCACAAAATCTATCTGAAGTTTTTGAATTTAATTTCATAATTGGGCTTTATGAAGAAAAGAGATGAAGATGTATATGTAAAGTGCAGAAGAGTATCTCTGCTTCCGTTTCATATGACCTGAGAGTGATATCAGTAATTTGGTAGTGTCTGGTACCATGCTTTACAGTGACTGATAATTACTTGGCAAAATCATGATTGAGATAATTTTTTTAAATTCTCAGATTTCTGCACTGAGTGGCCAGCTGCACTAGACAGTGATGAGAAATGTGCGAAGCATTTTCCAATTGAAATTGACACTGCTGATTATGTTTCATCAGGACCATCTGTTCGAAACCCCAAAGTACGAGGAGTAACCTTAAGGGTAAGAGATGGTTTTGTTTTGTTCTGTTGTTTTGTTTTACCATGCTGACGATAAAACCTAGGGGTAGTCTACCAATGAGCTAGATCGCTAGCTTTTTCTTTTCTTTTCTTTTTTTTTTTTTAAGACCGGGTCTCACTAAGTTGCCTGGGCTGGCCTTTAACTTGTGATGTCTCTACTTCAGCCTCCTGCCTGGGATTACAGGCATATATTACCACACCCAGTTAAGATTGTTTGAAATAAGAATCATTATAATATATTATTTGAAAATGTATTTTGTATGTGATTATAAAGCTAATGCATATTTGTCATGGAAAAATGTAAGTATTTTAAACCATAGAATAAAATATTCTATTCAGAAATAATACTGGTTAACAACAATAGGTCATTTTAATGTTTATAGGCAACCTGTATTGTATTTTGATTGGATAAAACCGTATGTATTTAGTAGTCTGTTCTTTTTCACTTACTAAACATTTCCCAATATTAGTAAACTTTCAAATTTTATTCTTTTTTTTTTTTTTGGTACTGAGGCTCAAACTCAGGACCTAGCGCTTTGGAGGGAGGTGGTGGAACCACTGAGCTAAATCCCCGGCCCTTACATTTTATTCTTAATGGCTATGTGGTATATAAATAAGCATCTGTTATGAGCCATGACGTGTTTGAGGCTGGGGATGCAGTGTCGCTGTTGCAGTGCTGGGGAGTGTCCTCAGGGCCTTGAGCATGCTAGGCATGCTGCCAACACTGACCTGTATCCTTGTCCCATAGGAGTGCAGGGTTGATCATTTCTGATATAACCCTTTTCCTAAGCCTTAGATGAGAAATACAAGAAGTTCACATCGTAGATCCATCATAATTTAGTTAAAGCATCTATATTTTGGGGTATGGGGCACTTTAATTTATTTCCTTCCTTCTTTCCTTCCTTCCTTCTGGGAAGGTGCTAGGAATCAAACCCAGGGCCTTGCACATGTTAGTCATGCACTCTACCACTTGAACTATGTCGCCAGCCCCCATAGTTTTTTTTTCTTAAAATTTCGTAGTGATGGGCTGGGGATTTAGCCCAGTGGTTTTGCCGCCTGCTGCGCAAGCGCAAGGACCCGAGTTTGATCCCTGGTACCAAAACAAAAAGAAAAAAAAATTTTGTAGTGAATAGCTATAGAGATTAATATTTGTATATATTCCTATTTATGTTCCCAAGATACCTTTCTAAAGAGAAAACTGTTGAGTTACAGATTAGCTCTTTTGAATTTTATGATATATGTGGTAAAACTCCTGTTGGAAGTGTAAAAAATATAACAGTAGATTGTAAGAAAGCCTATTTTCCTATACATGCACCAGTCTAGATATCTAGATACTATTAGTACCAATCAATTTATAAGTAACAAATTTGTATTTAAAAATGACATGAATACTAGTGAAATTGAGCCTGTATTCCTTTGCAAAATGCTTATTTTATCATTTGCCCATTTTGGTGGGGCATAGTGGACATCCTTGTCTTGTTCTTGATTTTACAGAAAAATCTTTCATCTTTGTTCTGTTTAATATGATGTTGACAGTAAGTTTTTCTTCGGGGTTTTTTGTTAGTTTTGATTTTGGTTTCTTTTGGTACCGGGGATTGAACTTGGGACCTTGCGCTTGCAAGGCAGTCAGTGGAAATACTGAACTAAATCCCTGGCCTCTTTGGGGTTTTTATTATGAATAGGTGTTGGATTTCCTCAAAGCCTTTCTCAGTGTCTATTGCAATGATCATGTGATTTTTGTTCTTGCTTCTGTTCATGTGATATCCTAAGTGTTCTTATTTGTGTATATTGAATCATCCTTGCATTCCTGGAATGGAGCCTATTTGACTATAGAGTATATGATCTTTTTTATTTTTTTTTTGGTACCAGGGATTGAACTCGGGTCTTTGCACTTGCGCAGCAGGTGGCGAACCACTGAGCTAAATCAATCCCCAGCCCGAGTATATGATCCTTTTTGATGATTTGTTGCATTCAGTTTGCCAGTATCTTGTTGATGGTTTTTGCATGTATTCATTATAGACCCTGGCCTGTGGTTTTTTTAGTTGGGTCTTTGTTTTTAAGGATCAGTGTACAAGGGCTGGGGATGTAGTTCAGCGGCACCGTACTTGCCTGGCAAGTGCAAGGTCCTGAGTTCAATTTCTGGTATTGAAAAAAAGAATCAGTGTACTGCTAGCTTCCAGCAATGATTTTGAGAGTACTACTTTCCTTTCAGTTTGAAGAGTATTTGCATTAGGTCTTCCTTGAAATTCTGGTAGAAATTAGCAAAGAATCATTGGGTTTTAGGCTTGTCTTAGTTGATTTAGTGCTTCAGTTTCATTGTCAATTATTGGATTATTCAGGATTTTGTATCTTGGTTCAGTTTTGGTAATTCATAAATATCTAGGATTCTATCCATTTCTTCTAGATTCCTCAATTTATTGTAATACAGCTTTTCAAAGTACTTACTGATAATCTGCTGGATTTTGGCAGGGTCTGTTGTGATTTTGCCTTTTTAATTCCTAATTGCATTGGTGTTTTCTTTACTTTTTTTCATTAAATTTACTGTTTTATTTTTATTTTGTTTTTATTAATAAATTTTATTTTTCTATCCCATTCCCCTCTCAAGTCCCCTCCCTTTGTACAAAAGCTTTGTTTCCATTTTTCCATCTATTTTCAGTTTCTTTCTTGTCCCTTCTTCCTTTCCCCCTCCCTCCTCCCTGTTCCCCTTCCCATGTGAACACTTTCTTCCCAGTTCCCAGCATCCATTATACATCTCAGTCCTTAATTTCCACATTCAGTTTCTCACACCAGAGAAACAATGTGGTATTTAAACATGTGTGTAGTTTAGTTCACTTGGGGTTCAGTCTCTAGGTTCATCCATTTAGCTATAAATATCTGAAGCTCATCCTTCTGTATAAAAAAACCCACATCTTCTTTATCCACTCTTCAGTTGATGGGCATCTGGGCTGTTTTCAAGCCTTAGCTATTATAAACTGTGCTGCTATAAACATGGGTGTGCATATATTACTGTGGTATCATGCTCTTAATTCTTTTGGGAAGGTACCAAGAAGGGGAATAGCTGGGTCAAATGGAACCTCTAGTTTTAGTTTCTTGAGAAATCTCCACACTGATTTCCACAGTGGTTGCACCAGTCTACACTCCCACCAGCCGTGGAGAAGGGTTCCTTTTTCCCCACAGCCCTTCCAGCATTTGTTGTTGGTTGATTTCTTTCTTTCTTTTTTTTTTTTTTTGGTACCGGGGATCGAACTCGGGTCCTTGCATTTGCTCAGGAGGCGGTGAAACCACTGAGCTAAATCCCTGGCCCATTGATTGATTTCTTGATAGCAGCCATTTTTTCTGGAATCTCAGCGTTTTCATTTGCATCTCTCGAATGACCAGTGATGTTGAACATTTTTTCATATATTTATTTGCCATTTCTAACTCTTTATCTGAGAAGTGTCTTTTTATTTCAGATGCCTATTTTTGTTTTGTTCTGTTTTGGTACAGGGGATCAAACTCAAGACTTTGTGCTGCGAGGTGGCGGCACCACTGAGCTAAGTCTCCAGCCCTCAGATGCCCATTTTTGCATTGAGTCTTTAAATTGG